GAGAAAAAAAAAATTTTAAAGCTGTTCTGCGAAAGGAATAAACCTCTGTTTTCTGGATAGTATAATTTTGAGAAGACCTGGTGTTTCCTCAGTGACAGATAAATGAAATATTACTGTATTTTGTTATTGAATGTTTAAATTTTTTAGTATTTGTTCTTTTCATTTTAATTGAATATTAATTTATATTTAAGGTACTATCTTTTATAGGTTTGTAAGAAGGGAACTTTAAAATGATTTTCCCTTTTATAAATGTAAACATACCTGATTTTCTTATCCAAATGGACTATATCTTGTTTGAAGTGTTTATTTTCATAATTCTGCTGCTGCTTTTGTTTTTTCTAGCTTCAGTATCAGGGTCTGTTTCTAGGGAGCTTGATCTTGGGGGGAAACTATTTGGAGATAATGTGCTATTACTTTTTAAAAAAAATTTCAAAATATTAAGGGAGTATAAATGTTTTTGGTTATACAGGCGGCTTTTGTGATGACTGACTCAGGGCTCTGAGTGTGCCCATTGCCCAGATGCTCATGTGCCCTCAGGTTTTTGCCCCTCGCCTTCTATCCCCCTTCAGTGCTGCTGTTTTTGAAACTCTTTGTTTTAGGCTCGTCTTCAGAGCTTGTGAGTTCTCTTTTTGAATGTGAATTTGATATTTAGAAATTCCTAAAAGCCATTCACAGCCAAACTTACCTGGTGGGCATAAAGTTTTTGATTAGATTGGTTAAAGTCATTTTGGGTTAGAAGTAGAGAGTCACGTTACAACACTGAGATGTAACTTTTTGCATGACTCTTAAGTTAGGCTGAATACATTTTAAAAAGAGTTGTCTAAAAAAAATACTTGGAACAAAAAACAAAACCAACAAACAAACATAAAAAAATACACACGGGCAGTGCTGAGAAGGACAAAAAGTATACTTGGAATAGTAGCAAATTATTAAAATAGGTATATAGCCCCTAAGATGACTATTTTAAAGGAATCGTGCTCATTTTGACTATTGATGTACTAGTTTAAGCAACAGAACCTTCATTTTATAGTTACCTTATTACACCTGGCTTAGAAATCTTTACTTAACACTTTCTACATCTTTATTTTTCAGAGAATATTTATAATTTATGATTTAACCACTGATTTTATGTGTAAATGAATTTTATAGGCAAGAGTTTATGTATGTGGAAAATTATTTTTCCTTCTAGAAATGGCTTAGTGAGAGGATAGCAGAGAATTACAGTCTAATGTGTCTTAGAGAAACTTTGTCTGGTCTCTCACTTTTTAAAGCACATCTTGATTTTATTTGAAGATAAGTCTTATGCTACTTTTTAAGATGAACAGATTTCTATGTTTTTTCCTTTTAATTAGGCTCAAGAGGCCCAGGGAATCCTCTGGACCCTCAGATTACCAATGAGAGAGGAGAACCCAACTGTGATAGGTTAATAGATCCTCATAGGGCCCTGTCTGACACTGGGTCTCTGTCGCCTCCATGGGAGCAGGACCGTAGGATGATGGTTCCCCCACCAGGTATGTAAAGAGAGTCGTTGTTTATATTTGAAAGGCAGACAGCGTGCGGGGAGGAGAGGAATGGAAGAGAGGAGGATTGTGTTCTGTCTCAGGAAACATTGGGATGCATTTTGGAAAACAGCAGATTTCTAAACAGAATACTTTGAGGTAGTTCTGTATGTTATAGGAAGCTGTTTTCCCCCTGAAATGGAATGTCCTTATTGCTTATGTTGCATATAGAGTAATACATGTTTACTTTAGAAAATCCAAACAATGAGAAATGTAGAATTAGAAAAGTGAAAAATCCCCCTTACGGATACATACCTTGTAGAGACTTTAAAAATACACATTCATAAATATAGGTATCTAAATTCGTTTATCACTCCTGTGCAGTTGTACTGTTCACTCTCTTATAATTGTTTTTTATTCCACTAAACAATGTTTCTTACCAAAATAAACATTTTTACCAGAAATAATGCAGTAACTGCTGTTCTCCTGATAGCCCCAGGCTTCCCAAGGAATATACTTCTCATTACTTAGCTTGCTAAATTTATTTATGCACAGTGTTTTAGGGACACCGTTCTGTGAAGTGAGCTATGCCTGCTCTGTGTAAATTAGTTACAGGTAAAAAAAAA